TCAAACGAAAGAATGTTAAGAAATCTTTAGTTTGACCATTTATAATGTTTGAAGAGGGTTGCCACGTGTTTCTTCTTCTTCTTCTTAATTGGCGCTGTAACCGCCTAAGCGATTTTGGCCGAGTCCAAAACAGCACGCCAGTCATTTCTCTTCTGTGCTAACTGACGCCAAATGGAAATGCCAAGTGAAGCCAAGTCCTTCTCCACCTGGTCTTTCCAACGCAGAGGAGGCCTTCCTCTTCCTCTGTTACCAGCATCGCGGCCCGCGTTGAATACTTTCAGAGCAGGAGCGTTTCTGTCCATTCCAACGACATGGCCAAGCCAGCGGAGCCGCTGAATTTTAATTCGCTGCACTATGTCTATATCGTTGTAAAGCTCATACAGCTCATCGTTAAATCGTCTGCGATATTCGCCATCTCCAACGCGTAAAGGTCCGTAAATCTTTCGCAGAATCTTTCTCTCGAAAACTCCAAGAGCCGCCTCATCAGATGTTTTCATTGTCCATGCTTCCGCGCCATACACCAGCACAGGCATGATGAGTGACTTATAGAGTGTGATCTTTGTACGACGAGAGAGGACTTTACTTCTCAATTGCCTACTCAGCCCAAAGTAGCACTTGTTGGCAAGAGTGATTCTCCGTTGGATTTCAAGGCTGACATTATTATTGGTGTTAATGCTGGTTCCCAAATAAACGAAGTCGTCTACTTTTTCAAACTTGTAACTGTCAACAGTGACGTGGGTGCCAAGACGCGTATGCTCTGACTGTTTGTGTGATGACAGGAGATACTTCGTTTTGTCCTCGTTCACCACCAGACCCATTCGCTTTGCTTCTCTATCCAATCCCGAGAAGGCAGAACAGACGTAGCCCTTGTTTTTACCGATAATATCGATGTCGTCGGCATACGCCAGCAATTGTACGCTCTTATAAAGTATTGTGCCTGAGCGGTTCAGTTCTGCGGCTCTTATTATCTTCTCCAACATCAGATTAAAGAAATCACACGAAAGGGAGTCCCCTTGTCTGAAACCTCGTTTGGTATCAAACGGCTCGGAGAGGTCCTTCCCTATTCTAACGGAGCTGGTGGTATTGCTCAATGTCAATTTACACAGCCGTATTAGTTTCGCGGGGATACCAAATTCAGACATCGCGGCATAAAGGCAACTTCTCTTCGTGCTGTCGAAAGCGGCTTTGAAATCGACAAATAGATGGTGCGTGTCGATCCTATTCTCGCGGGTCTTTTCCAAGATTTGGCGTATTGTGAATACCTGATCTAAGGTGGATTTTCCAGGCCTAAAGCCACACTGATAAGGTCCAATCAGCTCGTTGACGGTGGGTTTCAGTCTTTCGCACAATACGCTCGATAAGACCTTGTAACCTATGCTTAGAAGGCTGATTCCGCGGTAGTTGGCGCGTATGGCGGGGTCGCCTTTCTTGTGGATTGGGCAGAGCACACTTAAATTCCAGTCGTCGGGCATGCGTTCATCTGACCATATTCTGTATACGTGCTGATGCATGCACCTCATCAGCTCCTCGCCGCCGTACTTGAATAGCTCGGCTGGCAGGCCGTCAGCTCCAGCAGCTTTGTTGTTTTTCAGCCGCGTAATCGCTATTCGTACCTCGTCATAGTCAGGCGGTGGGACAGCTACTCCATCATCATCGACTGGGGACTCGGGTTCATCTTCTTCACTACTTTCAGCACTGCTACCATTCAGTAGATTATAAAAGTGTTCCCTCCACAATTTAAGTATATTCTGGACATCGGTCACTAGGTCGCCATTGTTGTTCTTACAGGAGTTCGCCCCGGTCTTGAAACCTTCCGTAAGTCGCCTAACCCTATGGAAGAATTTTCGGGCGTTCTTCCTGTCGGCCAGCATCTCAAGCTCTTCGCACTCACGTATTTCGGCCTCTCTCTTCTTATTGCGGCAAATACGTCTCGCATCCTTCTTCAGTTCCCTATAACGGTCCCACATGGCTCGCGTTGCGCCCGATCGCAGCGCGGCCCTGTAGGCGGCATCTTTTTCGTGTTTAGAAAGATACATTCAAATTATTCAATTATTTAGGAGTGTTGCCATTTGTTCGAACAATCAAATTAATTTTTTTTGCTCAGTGTATATATTACCATGTTTATTTTTTGGTTCAAATTAGTTTCAAGAACATCCGTATTCATTTCACTAGGCAAGACTTTTGTGTCACAAAGAAGCATTCGAATTTTTATTATAAATAATATCGGAGGAGAATTTGAGAAGAATGAGACCTTAAATGAAAATAAGATATTTTGTAAGACAAAGTGAGAGGACAACACGTAGTAAATATATTTTTTTAAATTTAAGAATTTCAATATAATTAATCGATTCATGAAATCATTTAGATTTGCCTTATTTCAATGAACCTTCTCAAAATATTGTACAAGCATACATTTTTTTTCTTTTGTCACTCTTCTTCCTTTGGTGTATTTAATTTTTCCGATTAAAGCCCAAAATACAATAACGCAGCGGCAGTGGCAGTGGCAGTTTTTCGAAATCAGCTGTTTTTTTAGAAAGTGTGGTGTCCAATGAAGCGACTCACAATACAGCAGTGGCAGCTGGCAGTACTGCTCAGTTTAGCCCAAATTCTAAATTCACTGCCACTGCCTTCATCGCAGCAAACTTCGCGTGCTGAATTTGACATATGTAAATAAAATGCAGCCAACTTCTGTGCATGTCACTGAAGCCTAAAAGACAACAACAAAATCGTAAACAAAAAAAAGGGAATGTCAAAAAAAGCTGTCACTGACAACGCCGTATTGTATTTGCTGCGGCAGTGACTGCCAATATTAGCAGTAACAGCTGATTTTATAAACTGTCACTGCCACTGCGCTATTGTATTTTGGCCTTAATTACAAATTTGTTTGTTTTCAACGAACAAAAACAGAAAAATTAGCTATTGCTTTATTGATAAACTTTTTTTGTGCAGCATTTTATATACTTTTTTTAACAGTGTTGCCACAAAAAAATTGCCAAATTCCTCAAAAACAAATGAAAAATCCTCAAAATCCGAACAAATTACTCACAATTTTCTTATTACAGATATGAGTATTATGTACTACTATTTACAGGTACTTAGTATAAAAATTAATTACATTCTCCAATTCAATTGGTACATTTGTTCTTGCTGCTCAAACAAAGTATCACCGTTATTTTTTATGCCTTGCTTTGTATATAATATTGCTGCAACTATATTAGTGCTTAATCTGGTTCTCAAGTCAGTTTTTAAACTATTAAATAAACGTTCTACTAAAGAATTAGAAAAGGGTTATATTAGTAATGCAGATACTTTTTTATAATTTGGAAACTTATGCTTATGAACCTGAGGAATCTTTTAATTTAAAAACCTATAATTTTCTGAATCTAATGACGAATCAATATGAATATTCTTATGATCAAACAAGGCGTGTTCTCTCCATTCGATATCGAGATTTTGCAAGTTCAAAATAAGTTGAAAATATAACGATTGACTTTCTGGCCGTCATGTTAACGCAAGAGAGAAAAATCGAACTCTTTTACATTGTAAACCGGAAAAATTCTTTACTTGAACGAGTCATGTTTGCATGGTGTATGGCGAAATGCGAAAATTAGGTTTGAAGAATGTTAGACAAGCCGCTTTCGCTCCTTGTAAAACTTCGAAAAGCTTTTTGTTCAAAAATTTCCAGAGCGATTTAACAACTCTGTTGTGTAAAACATAGTTCCATTTGTTATCTGCAAATATATCGCGAGAAAATTCCTCAAAATAAAAATCCTCAAAAAATACTCAAGCGCACCCAAAATTCCACACGTTTTGTGGAATTACTCACGAAGTGGCAACACTGTTGTTTAAGCGAAAAATAGAGATTTTGAGAGTTGTAAAATGCGCTCAAATCGCAACTTCAGCTATATGAGCTGTCAAAACAGTTCATTCACTTTATCCGGTTCATTTTGTTCATTACTAAAATCGGCCAAAAAATGAATAAAAAATGGAGATTTTTAGAAATGCGATAGAATCGTGAAATCGGTAAAAATTACTAAAATTCATTTAGCATTTCTTGGCGATGGAGTTTTACCGAGAGCGAAAGTTGGAATCCGGCTGCTGGGTTTTATCTTGTCATGCATGGAGCCAGTGTTGACCCTAATCGATTGATTTTTGAATCAATTATTTAATTAACTGGGACTAACCAGTTAACCATAACCGTAATTAAAAACATTTATTTATAATCATTAAACCTTAATTTGATTAAGTACGTTTGGTGATTAAATAATTTATGCTGAAATTGTCTTGCGTACACATGGTCAGGAAGTCGGTTGCGATATGCAAACTAGGTTTTAAACTCCCTCTGCACATGTGCGATGGGTTGTAAAAATTCCTAAGTAGTTTATATATTACTAATAATAATAACTAATAATACTTTTTTTTTATATAGTATGTGTTTTTATAAGCGTCAAACACAAAAAAATAACTGTTACCGGGGCAAACTAGACCACTTGATAAGATTTTTTTAAATTGTATTAACGATTAATGATTAACATTTATTTATCGTAGTCACAACCGACGATTAACGATTACAAAAATGTAATAATTAATCTTACAGATGATTATGATTAATAATTTTAATCGTTAATCGCGATTAACATTTCAATAATCCATTTTTAATCATTAATCAGATACACACTTTGATAACACTCCATAGAACTGATGGGATGTATGTACAGTATATGTGCTTATGTATTTCTTTGGTCTGAGCAAATACTGCATGTGAGTTAAATAAAAAATGTATTTGATAGAAAACTTGACCTTAGATATTAATTAATATTCGTACATACATAAATAGTTACGTATGTATATAGATAATTACTATTTTATGGATAAGTGCGAATATTTATTGAAAATGACCACAATGATAAGTTCTAATGCGAGTGCATTGTTTCCAAATAAAAATTATAACTAAAGTGATTATGCGGTTTGCGAAAAATTTCAACACATCTTTCGAATACCCTTTTCGTTAATTGTGTGTCCATCATGAAGTTATGCACATGCTTCTCCGCGCGAGTTAGTTCCAGTTTCCTTGAGACGACCGCAACAAGCAATGCCGTACATCCAGCACCCTGTAATATATTTTTAGACATTAGTTTTTAAATAATTACTTATAGTTTATGCATAAGTATAGAGATTTGTAATAGTTGACTGAATCACCAAAAATATTGCTCTCAATATTCGGAACTCTTATTAAATCTCAACCCGACGTTTTCTTTATAAACTTTACCGTACTATTTACGTACACGTGTGTATTATTTAATTTTATGTAAATATTGGGGCAACTTCTGGTTTTTGTACGAATCGAAAATAATGAAATTTTCCTATCACTTTCTATACAAAAACTTCAAATTTTCGATTCATATGATTACAAGAATACTTCTCATTATTGTTATAAAGGTAGAACGTTTTACGCCGTTTTCTTTATAAACTTTACCGTACTATTTACGTACACGTGTGTATTATTTAATTTTATGTAAATATTGGGGCAACTTCTGGTTTTTGTACGAATCGAAAGTAATGAAATTTAAAATTTAACCTGCATCCATATCAGCTAAATAGTGTGCCCAGTTTATATTGTCTGCGTATAGCTTACTCTCGTCGAAAATGCCGAAAACGTCAAATTTGCAGGAATGACGGTTTAAATAATTAACGCTACACTTAAGTATATTAAACATATTTAGTTCATGTGTATAAATGCACGTATGTAAATAAAATGTATGTAAATAATTGAATCGTAATTTTTTTAAGTCGTATTTTGCCAACGTAAAACAACGGTCAAAATATTTTTAGGGAAATTTGTAACTTCACCAAAATGTGTTTAAACTGACAAATATATAAAACATAGTATACATACATATTTAGCTTTTATTATACCATGCGAATTCCCAAAAATCATTTCAACCATTATTTCATTATTGTATGGAAGAAGCGCGTTGCATTTTCCTAATTGAATTATTTTCACAATTTGCCTTGGCCCTATTATACCTAGGTAATGAGCCTATCGTGTTGGGCAGAACTTGGTTAAGTAGTGTTTGACCCATAACAATGTCCTGCAGTCTTTTCAATTTTATGCTATGCCTAATGTGACCAACTATTTCATAGCTCAAAGAAGTACAGGTTAGGTTAGGTTAAGTTAATGCCGCGAGCTGATTACGAAATTTCGAATACGGCTTATTTCGACCCCTAAGAGCTCAGTGTATGTTCAGAAGTGCGAGCCAAAATGCTTCCCTCTTAGCCTCGCGAAGGTTGGACAGTCTAAAAGAAAGTGTGGAGATGATTCCACTTCATCTTCCTCTTGACAGCTGATAGAAAAGGATCAGTCGAAATTCACACAATGGTCTGTCAGAACCCCCATCACTAGCCCTTGAGAGGTAACGTGTTTTAAAGTGCCCTATAAAAACATTTGCTTTAGCAGAAAAACACCTTCTTTTCCTTTTTTATGTCACAAAAGGACCCGGTTTACCTTAGCCTAATAGCAGTTCGCGCTGCGATAATTCTGTCTGCAATACCCGCATGCGCCGTGTTCAACATATGTATGTTAAGCGTCAGTGTAGGTGCGGTTGTTAATGCACCGCTAATTCCCGTTTTACAAGTGTAGCCTTCCCTAGTGAGTTCCACCAGACAAGGGCTCCTTGATACAATATAGGCTTAAATCTGGTTTCCTAGAGCTAATAATTAATTTGGGCGAGAGACCCCACCTTTTACCGATAGCTTCCCTACAGCAGTACAAGGCAACCGACACCTTTCCTACCCTTTCCGCAATATTAGCCTTCTACGGCAGCCGCCGTTGATTGCCCACCTAGTTACCTGGTTCAGGTAACCTTAAGCCAGATCAAAAATGGTGTATAGAAATCGTCCCTTTACCAAAAGTTCCACATAATCTTCATAGGCGATCACCCGACAGCCCACTTTTTCGAGTCCCCCTAGAAGGTCGTTTACAACCGCAATCGAGGGCAGGGGAGATAAAACACCACCTTGTGGAGTGCGCCCACTGACTTTGCACTGAGTGCAGATACTCCCCCACTCCAGGGCGACAGTTCTGTCACGAAGTAAGCTTATAGGTTGGTTTCTATCCACAGATTATGAATATACTTGACTATTGTCTCTGGAGTGACATTGTTGAAGGCTCCCTCGATATCGAAGTAGGTCCCTACTGCATAATCTTCATGCGTGAAGGCTTCCTCTGACCACTTTACCAATGTGTGCAGGGCGGTATTCACCGATCTTTGCAATAATATAAGCATATTGAGCTCTTGAAAGACAGTCACGAGGAATCGCGTTTCTTATGTACAGGTCTATCAGTCTCTTTACCGTTTTAGCAAAAGCGTTTTTAGCAAAAATCCCTAGGGGAAACAAGAGAGCCTTTTCCGGCCTTCGGGATGAACGCAACACTGACCACCCTCCAAGACTTGGGGATGTACCCGGTCCTTACGCTGTTCGCATAAATACGATCCAACCTATTTCACGACACCTTCAGAGCCCTTTGCAACTGCGCAGGTATGACGCCATCGGTCCCCGGCGACTTTAATGGTTTGATGCCATGCCAGAAGATCGGAGAATTAGAGGACCTTGGGGGGAGATTCTGTAACCAGTTAGCGACAGTTTTCGAATCGCTATCGCACTTCTTGACGCAATAAACATTTATATCAAGCGTCAAAAGGTGTGATAGCGATCCGAAAATTGTCGCTAACTGGTTACAGAATCTCCCTCCTGAAGTACCAAATATCGCAAAGAAGTACATTTGACTGTACTTCGAAGTACGAAGTACAAGAGCGAAAAAAGAAGTACTGTACTTCCGAAAGAAGTACGGTTGGTCACATTAGCCTATGCCTAACTTGGCTACTGTACAAAAAAAAACAAGACTATTAAATTCTGTGGCAATTAATTAAAACAATTTAAGTAAAAAATAATAAGTTTCCCTTGAAAAATTGTATACTTATCAGTGAAGCCAACTCGTGGGGAATTACCCCGATTTTCGGGGAATTGCAGTTTGCGTGGGGAATCAAGGAATGGACCGTTGTTTGTTGGGCATTTCAGCTACATTATAGTTGCTTTTTTCCCACTTTTTCATAATGTACAAGGCGAACTTAGCACAGTGCATAGGCAACTGGCTGAGTCAATGGGATCGTCGGTTCGAAGCCTACTGAAAGAAGTCTGATGAGGAAATGTGGTGATTTCCGAAATAGCTATCACTTCTACCATTTTTTCACATTATTGTTGCTTTTCCACAATAAGTTTTTCATTAAAAACGGCCTCAAGCTCATTAAAAATTGTTGAATATAATTGTTATAAAGGCCATAAAATAACAAAAACAAATTTTTAATTTTATAATAAAAACTAAAACCAAGAAAAGATAATTTATATTTTTGAAACAAAAAATTCAGTTTAAAAAAATATTATCAGAAAAAAAACTGAAAAATATTTTTTTTCAAGCAAAAAATAAAACTAAAAAACAAAATTTTTCCAAGTAAATATATAATATTATAGTTCAAGAAGCAGAGTTATATTTATTATTTACTTAGCATAAATAGAGCTCAGAAAATATTTATTAAAGAGTAATTTTTAAATAAAACTTATAATCGTTACGGTCTCTGAATTTCATATAAACAAAGACGCCATGTACATACGTACATACATACATATGTACGCACAAATTTTTTTTGTGTGGAAAAAATTAAATAAAAAAATACCTGGACAGTCAAAAAAGCAAATCATGAACACTAATTACAATAGGGGTATTCTCTGAGTCTTGTAAAGCCCTTGCACGGTGCACGGATTGCACGGTTGCAAAGCTGTCTCATACGGAAACCGGTTTTTACCGTGCAATCTGTGCACCGTGCAAGTGCTTTGCAAGACTCAGAGAATACCCCTAATCATTATAGCAAAAGTAAAATTCTATACTATAATTTGCGTGTCTGTCCATCAATGTTTTTTTTTTTTTCTTTGGTTCCCCTGTATAGGAAATACATTTCTTCTATTGAACATGATACATAGTATGAGTAAGATCGCTTAAATTTGAAAAAATAAGCAGTAAACGCAGAACTACATACATATAAAAGTATGTTATAGTTGGTTCTTTTTTACTTTCCTTACATGTGCAAATTTGTACGTTGTTGCAGCACTCACCATTATTCCTGTAGTGACGGCAATACCGCGTCCACAATACGTATTGGGTACAATATCACCGAAACCGACACTTAGAAAGGTTATTGCTATCAGCCACATTGCATTCAAAAGATTTGCATGCTCTTCATCATGAAACCTGTACGGGTTGTAGATACACACATATGTACATACATAAAGAAAATGATATTTCTGCTTGCATCGGTGGATAAAACTCAACCAAATATGATTAAAAAATATTTCATTTCTAATCTACATTTGACGTGAGAAGATCTGCTTTCGTACGAGTATGCGTGGATAGAATCGTGTTCCAAGGACATTTGTATTTGTGTGTTTGTGTATCGGTTTTAACAGTAGAGTATTTCAATAAGCTCTCATCTTATGTATAGTGTATTTAAAATTAAGGCTTTTGATGCTGAAATAAACATTTAGGGTAGTCAAATGGTGTCGTAAGGAGCCACATTGTCAAACACTCCATAAAGAATAAAAATAAATTTTATGATATTCACAACGACCAAATATTTTTAAACGTTTTGAAATGTTTTTTTTTGTACTTGTGTTTATTTATTAATAAATCTTGTTTTATAAATCTTATAAACTAAAATTAACAAAAGTGTATATAAAGAATAAACAATATTACTGCTATGGCACCTTGAGAATTACCTGATTATGTAGTGCGCGTAATTCGTAAAAATTAAACAAATTTATCGAAATATTTTTTACATTATTTCGCACGGATCTATTTTTTACAAATAAGGCTAGGCTCTCGAAACACAATTTTTAGATAACACTTGCAAATAGAATATGTAAGCATAAATGGATATAAAAAACATTTGTAGTAATAAGTACATTAGAGTGGTTCAAAAAATTTTTTTTTTGGAAATTCATAAACGCTACCTCAAATTATTGTTATTTGTGATAAAAAAGATACACGTATTTTTTTATTTTGAAAAAAAGTTTTCTTAGAGGTCACGCTGGTCGGTTTTTTATAAAAACGCTGATGTTCTAAATTTTTTTTATTTTCTTGATATGTTAAAATGCAGCTAAAAATGTGGTTTTTACATATAATTACTCTGGTATTAATGGGGAGCTTTCCCTTAATTACACACCTGGCTTGGACAATTAGAATGGATCTAGTTCCCGAAAATATGCTCTCGAAAAGACACTAGTAAAATTAAAACGTTGATACTGCACGATTTACGCATTGTCATGGGTTGGAACTTGTTACCAGGGGGTTCCTGGGGTTGCTAATTAGGAATTTGAAGTCGGTTTTTCTAAGTTCAAAATGGCGGATCCAAAATGGCGATCCATTTTTTTTTAAATGATTGGATTTGTTCGAAACCCGGCACTCGAGAATTTTTGGGGTCGCCGATTACGAATCTGAAGTCAACTTTTTTAAATTCAAAATGGTTGATCAAATTAAAAAAAAACACACTAAAATTAAAACGTTGATACTGAACGATTTACGCATTGTCATGGGTTGGAACTTGTTACCAGGGGGCTTCTGGGGTTGCTGATTACGAATCTGATGTCAGATTTTCAAAATTCAAAATGGCGGTTAAGAGTTTCAAACAAATCCAATCATTTTTTTTAATATTGGGCAACATTTTGGATCCCCCATTTTGAATTTTGAAAATCTGACATCAGATTCGTAATCAGCAACCCCAGAAACTCACTGGAAACGTGTTTTAACCGTTGACAATGTTTTAAACGTTCAGTATCAACGTTTTAATTTTAGTACTTTTTTTAAATTTCATCGCCATATTGGATCCGCCATTTTGAATTTAAAACAAGTAAGAAAGTCTAAGTTCGGGCGGAGCCGAACATTAAATACCCGGCGCAAGTATTAAATATATGTTTTCCACCTTTCCGAAAGCTACCGCTACATGATAAGCCGGGGTGTATACATTTTAAGTAAATTAGCGTCCTTAAATTTCGAAATATTGCAGTTTCAAGCATATCTGAAATTTACCGTTATATGAAAAGCGGCCTCAATTTTAGTCCGATTTCAACAATTTTCAACGGTTTGCTTTTATGTGGCAAGCACAATAACCATACCGAGCTTGGTACAAATTGCTAGAACGGTTAGCGAGATACATATATGTGATCACAAGTGGGCGGTGCTACGCCCATTTTCCAAAATTTTGTCATAGACGTATTTCCTGGTAAAGAATTGTTGCAATCATCAATTTTGAATAAATTAGCTTCAATATTTACTGATTTATCGAAGATTTTGTATTTCTCGAAATTACCGTTATATGGGATGTGGGCGTGGTTATTGTCCGATTTTAGAAATTTTCGGCCAGTTGGTATGCTGTGCCAGGAGCAACAACTATGCCAAGTTTGGAAGAAATTGGTTTAGCGGTTACCAAGATATACACATGTAACCATAAGTGGGCGTGGCTACGCCCATTTGCCAAAATTTTGTAATATTCTTATTTTTCGTCTAAAACTCATTGCAAATATCAATTTTGAATGAATTATCTTCGGTAGTTACTAAAATATCGCAGTTTTCGTTTTTCTGAAAATTACCGTTATATGGGAGGTAGGCGTGGTTATTATCCGATTTCGCCCATTTTCAATACCATCCGTCCCGCGCCCAAAAGAAGTTCACGTACCAAGTTTCGTTAAGATATCTCAATTTTTACTCGAGTTATCGTGTGCACAGACGGACGGACGGACGGACGGACGGACGGACAGACAGTCACCGCTTAATCGATTTCTCTTTTCATTCTGATCATTTATGTATACATTTGTCTATATCTATCTCGATTCGTTTTGCCTGTTACAAACAACCGTTATGTGAACAAAGTTATAATACCCTTGTGCACAAGTGCGCTCGGGTATAAAAATTGATTTCAGATTCGTAGTCGGCGACCAAAAAAACTCTCGAGTGCCGGGTTTCGAACAAAGCCAATCATTTTTTAAAAAATGGACCGCCATTTTGGATCCGCCATTTTGAATTTCGAAAAACTTACTCCAGATTCCTAATTAGCAACCCCAGAGACCCTCTGGTAACAAGTTCCAACCCATGACAATGCGTAAATCGTTCAGTACCAACGTTTTAATTTGACTAGTGTTCTTTCGAGAGCATATTTTCGGTAACTAGACCCATTCTAATTGTCCAAGACAGGTGTGTAATTAAGGGAAAGTTCCCCAATAATACCAGAGTAATTATATGTAAAAACCAGATTTTTAGCTGCATTTTAACATGTCAAGAAAATAAAAAAAATGGAGAACATCAGCGTTTTTATAAAAAACCGACCAGCGCGATCTGTAAGAAAACTTTTTTTCAAAATAAAAAAATACGTGTCTCTTTTTTTATCACAAATAACAATATTCTGATGTAGCGTTTATGAATTTCCAAAAATAGTGTTTTTATGAGCCACTCTAAAGTACATACATATGTTTGAACATTAGGGTGTGTAAATTTTTTTTCGACTATGCGCGTATATCATTGGAGGGTTCTACGTGTAATTCTAAGCAAATTTGCCGAAAAAACAATGGGTCTAAAATCAATTTGGAGTTTGCCAAACTGCGAAAATAGGTTTCGAAGAAAATGTGAAAAGGTTGCGCCCTCTGGTGGAAGTTTTAAGGAAAAGATAAATCCAGAAATGGATTCCTCATACTAAAACATTCTTTATATCATGTTTTTATAAAAAATTTAAGCACTTTTTTACGACACTACAGCAAAAAACTAAGAAACCTATTTTAGAAATTTGGCAAACTCCAAATTAATTTCAGACCCATGGTTTTTTCGGCAAATTCGCTTAGAATTACACATAGAATCCGTCTGTGCCATACGCGCATAGTCGAAATATCTCCCATACAAATTTACCCGCCCTAATGAACATAGATTTACACAAACTTCAAATGGCGCCGAAATGGAAAGGTGATTTTTGACAGACGTTGAAGCACAATCTTTAGTCTAAGCTACAAAGAAAGAAAATTAATCGATAACTGGAAAGATTTGAATGTAACATAAGGGCTCTAAGGAGAATTGTGATAAATTCCGTATGAACCTTTCATATTAACAAAGTTTTACTTTCATTGTGTTCAAATTACACTGTGCAACAGCATTTTTGGGGTCGCAATAATTCCAACGCAGGAAAGACATTTTTTTGCATGGCCATTTTAAAATTGCAATATTTTGCCTAAGTGTTAGTTAGAATAAATGAAAAAAAGAGTTAAAATAGATATCTGAGGGAAATGTGTTGTTTCGGGACATATAGTAAAATTTTAATTTTGTAGAACATTTTAACCCCTTATCTCCCTCACAATAGGGTCGTTTTGGCCCTTTTTTTAGAAAGTTCGAATAAAATGGCATTTCCAAGGTCGCTGGAGGGTTAAAATCTTCTAGAAAATTATTTGCCACACAATTTCACTACGGGTCCTCTCAAATAATATCTTTGTACAAAGAATCTGCAATCCACAGAAAATAAAAAAATCATATATCCCCTTGAAATATGGGCAATTCTCAATTAGTTCGAACTTTCGCATGACTCGACAGTTTTTATTCGGATACATAAAAAAACAGTATATATAATACCCTAAAAGCTATGACAGACGGCAAAGCTTATGCATATAATCTGGCACACATATGCACATAATAATTTTGACATAACAGACGGCAGTTATGTGGATAAACGAGTCGCAAGGTCGTGGGTTCGAGTCCCACGGCCAATTGAATTTTCATTTATTTCGTTTTCATTCTTTTTTTTATAAGTTCTATAATTTTTTTACGTTGCTTTCAGTTAGTTCTTGTTGACTTTTTATTAAAATTCAACTCTAAAACTTTAAATTCACTAATAGTAAAATTAAAAATGTGATATAAAACAAAGCAAATGAAAACAAAATAAAGTAAAATTAAATATATAGATCAAATAAAATAAAAAAAATCTTACTAATATTATAAATGTGAAAGTTTGTATGTTTGGATGTTTGGGAAATCATCACGCGGAAACGACTGAACGGATTTGCATGAAATTTGGTACTAGAGGTACTAGAAATTATGCGCTAGATTGGTTAATAGGCTATTTTTTTAAGAGTTGCCACCTGTTAAAAACGTTTTATTTATTTAATATGCGGGAACGACTGAATGGATTTGCATGAAAATTTGCACACAGATAGCTTGTGACC